CACTTGTAGTTTGAATGCCTGTTATAAGCATAACGTTTACTATGAAAACCCGTATAAATTGTTATTCTTATGTATTGTTTCGTGTTTTAGATTTTATTTGGGGTATTATTTCTATGCTTACATGTATAATAGTAAATGCTAAAAACAATTAAAATTTCAATATATGCTTGAATTGCACTAAAAACTTTATGAAAATATTTATTTATTTAAATTAGTCTAACGTTTAATATAATTAATTTAAACTAGAAAATAATATTTTAAAAATTAATATAAAAGTTCAATATATAAAAGCCTCAATTAAATAAATATAGACTAAAACTATAGTTTATAGTTATTTTTAGAAAAAATAATTTTGCACAGAATATGAATTTTAATAATTTTAATAATTTGCATATTAATTCATGAATAGATTCCGTGATGTATTTGATGGCATTATTTCGATTCTCAGGCATTGGGTTTGTATTAATATATTTGTTGACTCAACTGAATCGAGTGGAGTGTCATTCGTGGCAAAACCCTGGCTGTCATAAAGTCGGTTAGAAATACATTCTTTTATTATTTCCAATGAAATTTATAGTGAATTAATGCATTAAAAATGTTTATAATGTAAATATTGCACATAGATTTTGATATTATTGCATAAAAGATTAAAATCACATAAATTTTAAGCTCTAAATTAAAAATTTTTGTAAATTTAAAGCGTAAAAACAAATATCCAAGTTAAGTGTAGTTTTTATTTAATCAAATATTTAGGATTCTCGTCAAAATTCAGTAGAAATGGCAGCAAAAGCTCATAAATGTTGTCAATCACAACAAGACTTAAGGCTTGACAACCACTTCATTTAATTTTAAGTTTGAGTTCTCGGATTCAATTGCAATTCTGTCACAATATTTTTTCACAAAATACTAAATTTTTTGTTTACTATAAGTGAACATTCAGTTGAATCGTATAAACGATGATAACATAAGTTTTATTAAATTCCTTAAAACTGTAACATATTCTGCAATCTTTCAAACACTAACTAATATCATAAAGTATTAACATTTTGTTTCAACTAAAAAGCATTTATTTGAAAAACTCCAAAACAAGTATTCTCTAAAAATTGCTCATAATATAGTTTATCATAAAACACATGAAATAAAGTGAATTTAGATTTATATAAAAATATAAAAGCATTCATTAGTGTTTGGATTGATATACAGCACAGACATCTGATAATATAATGACTTATTCATAGGCCATACACAGAGGATAAGTATTCCGGATTGCGTTGAGTTTGACATCACGACAAACGCCTGCCGAGGATATTGTGTCTCGTTCTCCATTCCCTCCAATGAGGCCACTCTTCGGGTCAATCCCAACCAACTCTTGACTTCTGTGGGCCAGTGCTGTAACATTATGGAGACTGAAGATGTAAGTAACCACTAAATAACCTGCTGTCCAACCATTTCTACAATTTAGTTACCATTAAAATGTGGTTTAATTCCTTTTATAAACTCTTATCAAAATCCCAGATGAGCTCTAAATGAGTTTAAAGTTAAACGTTTGTCCAATGGAACTGACATTTCCTATAATTTTATTTAATCTTCAAATTTATAGCCATAAGAGTATAGACTTTTTTGGCCTAAAGAAAGCTATGCTCCAAA